AGGACAGCTTCATCCATCAGGCTGTCAGGAAGCTGAACTCCCTCCCGACCTTGCCCCCCCTCCCCTCTTTTGCCCCACACACCACTGAACTCTGACCCTCCGACCCCCCAGTTCCCACATCCCCAGGTCCTTCCACTCTAACACACACTGACCCGCACCAGTCAAGTTCATAAATAAGGATGATAAATCATAAAAATATGAATAGAAATATTGTTTGAAAACACAACAATTATAACCATACGCTCTTTATGTTTTTAAACCTTTTTTTTATTTTTATATTCATCAAGATTTCCAGAACTTCCAGTAGACCCTGCCCTGCTTCAAGCACATGCTTTTATAAGCTTCATCTGTGCTTACATAATTTTTTTTAATTGACTGTCTCACGTTGTTCCCAGATGTAATTAACATTTTCCTTCTTGGCTTAGCCGGTCATGCATAGCAAGATGCTGAGGACACGGTCATGTGGCTTTGGCAGCCTCTGAATCCGGTAAGTCCAACCCCGCAGCCCATGAATGAGCTGTTAGGTCCTCAGACGCTCAGACCGAGAGATGGAGATGTGTTTGACTGCCGACAAACAGGTACTGCGTGCATTTTTACCTTTTCTTTTTTCTTTTCTTTTCCTTCTGTTTAGATGTGACTTACTGTAAATGGAGCCATATGTAGACAGTGTTTATCTAAAGACAGTCTAACCACTTTAACAAGACATACAAATCTTTGCCCAGGGTATTATCTTTTGACAGCTCAGACAGCTCACAGACGTTTTTCTCTGATCAGTTAAAGGAAACTGTGAATCAGCACAGGCAAAGCTGCCAGGAATTCTTTATGAAGGAGAATCTTTATGAACTGGTCCATTATGTAGACCCTGTATTCAAAGCTAGGAAGAGGATTTAACGATCGAAAGTGATGTTAGTTGAGAACGAACAGTTCACGGTTCATGTTTACAAGAGCTCTTAAAGCACTGTTTGCTCTGTGTGAGAGGTGAGATGGAAAGTAAATCTTGAGCGAGCTCAGACATGCTGATGAAGTGTGGACACACCCTGGTGTTATTCAGGGCAGAAAATGGAGGACAGCTGCATGCGTTCTGGACCAGCAGGAGAAACAGTGGTTGCTAACGGCACGTCACCTCCGGCCAGTTTTGTTGCATAATAAGAAACCCAAGCATAGTTTAAGACTCTGGAGGAAGTAGACTTCCAATTCAAACAACAGTACTGCAGCTGAACTGCTGCTTAGGAATTTTAGTGAGTGTCTAGCTCATAAAATCCAAACCTTCGGGTTTGAAGTTGCCCAAGAAAGCCGATAAAAAGGTAAGGCTTCATTATTGATGATGTAGATAAGTGCAAATACTTGAATGGAAAACAGTGTTTTAAATAGGCCGACGATGCAGTTGTCTGTGTAAAGTTAAAAATGGGCAGTGCTAAACTCTTCTATTGTCATTGTTTTATTATTATTTAATGCAGAATATTCATTACGATTTCTGCTGCATTCCCGAAGCTGACATGTAAATACAGTCAATGTCAAATTTGCTTACATTTCAATAGTGCAGAATGCTTTTCTTTATTTTCAAAACCTTCACACTTCCCGTGGTAGACGAGCGTTTCATTGTGGCCCTCTGAACCATTTTATGTTGTCAGACCATGTTCACCGTGTTTCTCTGGACAATGTTGTTCTTTTAGCCAGCTGAGACGACGGCTCAAACTGTCCCGTAAAACCATGGCACTGCTCAAAGTGGGCCGAACCACAGACTGTCAGAGGACCGAGCCTGGTTTATTGGCCTCTCTACATCTCGCATTGGCTGACTAACCAGCACAGTGGCACTCCTGTTCACGCATCACTGAAACATACTGGTGGGTCGCAGCTCTTTCACTTACAAGGAGACTGGCTCTGTTCTGAAATCTGGCCAGCATTTCAAGGCACACTCTGGGCTGTTCCAAAAGATAGAACAATTATGCTGGTTTCTAAGAATCCTTCTGCAGGGCATATTAAAACAAATCCTTCTTAAAGACAAAGTATCCTTTATAGAAACGAATAGCAACAAGCTCAGGGATAATCACCCAAGATAACGGAGGGACAGAGAACTATACTACTGTCGTAAATAGAATTAATTTAGTAAATTAATTCAGTAAATCAATAAAATAGTTCAGTCTAATTCAAAATTAACCATTTTACCCAATGTTTTAGATTTCATTATGCGATTTTGCAGTGGTTTTGTCAGGCACCAAATAGGACGCTGCATTGATGACGTATTTATGTAGAACAATTAGTGTCACTATAACTCCCTTGACAAAATCCAACTCGATTTATCCATTAGCTTTTGGATTATTAAACTCTGTGACCAAAAAAGTTTCTGATTCTTACACGTTTTGTTCATCATGGTAATCTTTTACAAACTTTTTACATCGGATTGGTTTTAATGGAAACTGTAATGGTCTCTGTTGGTTTCTACTGGTAATTTGTCACCTTCTATTGGTGGCTTGTTCAAACCACTAAATCCTAAAGCAATATGTCCCAAAACACACTACAGAAAACATTTATAATGGTTTTAATGGATAATAGTTGATGGTTTGTAATGTCTGCATTGGTATTTATAATGAAAACCATTAGAATTTTGGTGATGGATTCTATAGTTTTTTTTCAGCAGGGCCGATAGCCTCTGTAGTCCCATTTAGCCACTTGTTAACAATCGCCTTTTCCAAGACAAGTAAAGCTTTAAAAAAAGACAATATATTTTAAGCGTTAACCACAGACCTTATTTCATGCGTTTAACCAAAATCCATTCAAAAACACCCACTGACTTCGGGACGATGGAACTGAAAATGCTAAATTGCGACCTCGTTTCTGGGTTTTGGCCTACAACATTGTCATCCCTGAAGCATGCTATATACTACCCATTCAGAGTTACTTCAGCCTTTTCAAAGACCTGAAATAAACATTGAGCTGTACGCAATGCGGGCTGTAAGAAGAGCGATGCAAATCGTCACTAATGAGGTTTCATTTCAGTTAGGATGCTGTCTGCAGACACAAGGCAGCTGACCAGGTATTGGAACGGATCCACGGTCGAAGCTGAACAATAATTTATTCTTATTTCTTGCACACGCAGGTCTCAAAGGAATCCCGATGATCCTGTGCAGTCCGATGAGCTTTGCAGTGCTGTGCTGCATACTGTGGCTCGCTGCGCCTGCCTTCCTGCACTCTGAATTCAAGGTGGCCTACGTGACCGAGCGCAGCATGTACATGTGCACATGTGCCCAGGATCTGACCTTCTGTGAGAAGATGAACTCCAGCGAGTTCAGCAACTGCAAGGATCAATCATCTGTCCTGCACAGGGCCGAGAGTCCCAGCCCGGTTCACAAAAAGAATCTGACAGTGTGGTACAGCTCGCCTCTTAACGTGGCCCTCCTGCTGAACAACTCTGAGGTGCAGCACCTGTCGCTGATCCAGTGCAAGCCCGCCGCCGAGCAGCCCGTCCCGTTTGAGTACTTCACAGTGCAGCGCTTGGAGACTCTAACGGTCACCTATCCCTTCTGGAAGCCTGGACAGAGCTATAAAATGATCATAGGCAAGGACAGGGACGCCCCTTACCACGAGGAGGCGAGGATCGCTGTCATTCATACCTCTGTGCTGACCGGGAAAACAGAGCTGAAGTCCTACACAGTCCAAACCAACGTGGACCGCAGCGGAATGATGTCCTTCCCGAACATTTTTATGTCTCGCAACGGGCTTTCGGAAATGTCCAGGATATTTTTCACTTTTCTGTACTGAGAGGCATTTTAGTTTTTTTTTTTCCCAGGAATTTAAAAGCTTCATTGTAGTCACTATAACACAAATAGCTGTCGTGCATAATTAAGAATGGATATGCTTCATGTATACAATAACATTATACTTATTGCATACATTGCAAACATCAAAATCGTTCAGAATCACAAATGATCATAATACTAAACCAGAACAAGTTTATTCTCTGAGGTTTGTAATGTGGGCTTTGCACATGCGCTGCTGTTTTACTGAGGATTAAATTCTCTTAAGATGTTTTGTATTTACAATAAATAAAATAGAATATTATTGATTTTTTTTTTAATGTATTTATATAAATAAAAAATGGCAAAGAATTGTGTGATGCTGTTGTTAAACATTCTACCACCCTGCAGAATCTGTTCCGCTTAGACCGAGAGGTAGTCATTTGTAATTTCTGTTCAAAAAAGCAAAAGCAAACTTGAGATAAGAACGCATTTGCTGCAGCAAACATGCTGTTTTAGCTTGTCTCTACATGTCTTTTACTCGTATCTAAGCATTCCGCATCACAAGTGCATCGCTGCACCAGGTGAGCTACTGAGCAAATTTAATAGATCAGGAAAGCCAATCATCTGTGGGAAAAGGAATAAAAGTTGTTGGTGTTCCACTGCTTCTAGTGTTAATTTCACGTGGAAACTGCAGTGAATTTCATGTAGCCTGTTTTGTAGTTATGCGAAAATGTAGATAGAGTTTTTCAAATGTTGTCAAAAACATACCATGTGATATCACAAATTTTTAGCTACTCATAATAGTATGATAGTGACGTTCAGCATATGCTGACTAGTTGCATCAGGAAGGACCATCCAGTGTAAAATTCACTCATAACGGGAGCAGCCAAAAGAAAAGAGAGAATGTATATTATGTATAAAGAGATTTCGTAAAATTTCTATTCAGGCACCAAATATACTGCTTATTAAACGTTATTTCAACCTGTAAAAAAGCTTTGGGGTCCAAAGAGATACTGCAATGCAATAGAAGTTGACTTCATTGTGTGGCTCTTTTAAAGATATTAAGGAAGTTATTCACTGTGGTCAGTTTTTGGGTCAATTCAGTGCCTACCTGTTCTGGGAGTGTTAGTATGTCACAGGTCAAAAACACAAGTCAAAGGACAAAGGAAACTTCAGAAGTATCTGGGTCCAATTACCCACCCTTGCAGTCTTGGCCACTTGAGAGCGTGTGCATACAGGAAGTAAGTGCGCAAGACTGTCCCAGGTCTTAAAAAATGCCAAAACCCAGTGCCCTTAAAGCACAAGCGTATCCCATCATGCATCATGTTGTGGAAATAAATCCTGAGACTTTTTGCCAAGATCTCACAAGATTTTGTGATAACCTTTCCAGTGTAAGTCAAATATTATAATACTACTTAGTTTGGTAGTAAAACATAAAGTGTTGCACATTTTATTGCATGCAAAGATTAGTACGCGCATTTTGTACAACATTTGCAACTGCTTTTTATCACTTAATTAGAAGCGCCACAATTACTACATTTTGTAATCTGTTATAAAGACTACAGACAATTAAATGAACAGACATTTAGAAGTTTATTTTAAAATGCAAAGTATTGGAAATCAAAATAAAGCTCCGTAAACATGAAAATCAAAAGTAAACTCTGTAAATGCATTTTTACTAGTGTAGTGTGTCCCATCAGGTAATGAAGAGTTCTACACACACTTGAACACTTGAACACATGGGACCTGCACACCTCAACTAATCAGCGTAAGTTCATAGACTTCACTATAGCTAAGTGTTATTTTTGCTGGCTATTAATTAATTTTGTTGGCTTTGAACAGTTTTTGTTTAATTTGTTTGCTGGTAACAGTGTGCGTCATCACACAAAACCAAAAGTTTATGAATACAGTGAGAGATAACTACTCGCCCTATTTACAATAAAACAGGCTACTTGATCGTATGTCTGGATTATTTTACTAATGCTTCACATCGCTTAAAACTTTTTCTTCATAAGTTTTAATCCTTTCTTTACCTGTAAAACAGCTTTTATATAGTGGGGAAAAAAATTGCTTGGTGCACCTAATGGCTAATGGACGAGCTCAGTGCTTTGAGCCACCAGGTGTCAGCAATGCTCTACTATGTGATGCGCTGGATTTCTCTTCCTGACTGCTCTGAACTGGAAACTCAAAGCAGATAGATGGTGGTTTGTCAGATGTGAGGTCAGTGAAAGTGTTGCTTAGGGTACCTGATCATAATAACCTGCGCTGCGTTTCCCAAAAGCATCGTAGGCCTAAGTTGATCATAGTTCCATTGGTTTCAATGGGTCTACGATGTACTTAAAAGCTTACGATGCTTTTGGGAAACGCAGGCCTGGGGCCTGTACCATGAAGCCGGATTAGCTGGCTAGGCAGGTAAGATTCAGTTTAGTTTGCACCAAGCTTGGCTTTTAGGTACCATGAAAGTGGCTTTTCTTTTAGCTGCATTCGTTGCCATAGTAACTTACACTCCACGGCTAACCTGCTCCAGGGCAGGTTATGTTCTGGGTAAGAAATCTCAAACTGAAGTTGGACCAATCAGATGTGAGCAAAGTGACACATGTCTGACGCAAAAAAACAAAAAACAAAAAAAAAAGTCACTCCCCCAGTTTCTCTTCCTACAAATTAAAGGTCACTATAAAGTACCTAAAAAAAATTTCCAACAAAATTGTCTGGCTTTAATGATAATTACATATGATTTATATTATTATTAATCCATTACACACAAGCACTTTTAGCTTAACAATTATTATAAAACATTTATTTTAAATGAATATATTAGTGCTGTCAAACGATTAATCGCGATGAATCACATCCAAAATAAAGGTTTTTGTTTACAGAATATATGTGTGTGTTCTGTGTATATTTATTATGTATATATAAATACACACACATGCATGTATTTACATGTATATATTTATATTCATATAATTTATGTTAAATATATTTAATAAATAAACATAAAATATGTTTCTTAAATATATACATGTATGTGTGTGTATTTATATATACATGATAAATAAACAAAGAACACACACATACTGTACATTCTATAAACAAAAAAAAACGTATTTTGGATGCGATTAATCGTGATTAATTGTTTGACAGCACTATAATATATAGATCATATGTAATATAAATAAGTGGTAGAATCAATAGGTAACACTTTAAAAATGGCTACACGTGACCTTAGCAAGATACTTTTTTTAATTCCTCATATTCTTTAATCTCTTAAACTTTAACAAAAGAGTTTTGAATCTCGCTGGCTCTATCGCGAGAAGTGAATCACACTTGCTCTGTGTTGTGATTGGCTGTTCGCCACTGATGTCACACATTCATGTGCATGCGCTCCACAAACTCAGGATCAAAGCCTGAGTTGACAAAGAAAGTTGATGAACAGCATCATGGTACCAATAAAGCTGGACTGGAGTGGTTTGGTTTTGTCAACTCGAAACTAATCCTGTAACTCTGAATTTGTTCATCCACCATCATGGTACAGGCCCCTGGACTGATATATGTTCAAAATACTGATAATAGTTACACAGGTTTTATGTGTGTGTGTGTGTTTATTTTTAGAGCACACAAGTGTATTTACTTTAGAATGTGTGTAACAAGTGTGTTTATACTTTAGCCACATTTTTACATGACTTTTGCAGTCCTTCAAAAAAAAAAAAAAGTATTTAAAACCATTTATAAGAGCAATTTCTCTCTAGTGAAATATTTGATACCTTTGCATAATTAGAAAAATATAAATGAAAAAGAATGTTTTCTTGACATTTTGAATTTGAGATTGTGTTTCCAATGTTTTTTCCAGAACCACAATTTAAAACTTCCCTTTATTTCCAGGTTTCCATCACCTTGAGAAGTCTGACTTTAGGGAATTTAACAGCGTCTGAACCCCAAAAGCCCCAAATCCTTTAAAAGATCCCAATGGACTGTCCATGAGAGGTAAAGACTAGCACTGTTTTTAATATTGAATATTCTCCTCTAGTAGACGCCACAGAATCTTGTGTTTGAAATTAACTCGTGACTGACGTTACACATTTGATCGCTAAAACACTTCAAACTAAAATTTCACCAAACGTTTTCAAAATACTTATTGATCACCAGAGCATATAGTACACAGGAACTTGCTATATGGATGAGGGTCAAAAGTTCAGAGTGGGCAGAATCAAATCACTCTCATGACGGCAGATGTTGCCATTTACAATTAATAATCTACCCAGGGAATTGCATTTCCCAACTCAAAACGCAATCAATATAGCGTCCAGTTAACAAATGCAAAACTTGCGGGGGAAAAGCAGACAATTGCTGTGTCTCCCCCCGCGAACGCGCCTTGTCTTGCATCTCAAAACATGCAGCGTATGGATATCAAACAACAGCGCACCTGCTGAAAGACTAGGCGTTCGATGAAAAATGACAAATTAAGGCTGTGTTTTGAGCTGATTGCTGGGGAACCCTCGCTGATATAGCTGACCTCACTAATGGGTGCCAACCAGTTGAATGGGGGTGGGGGACCACAGATTGCTCCAGTGCTTCCAACGCATGGCTTTTATTTATTCTCCTGTTTTTTTTTTTGCACGAAAGCCTGGGAAGTCTATAAAAATCAGCCTTTGGTCTCCTCACCGGCAGTTCACCACTAAAACATTTTTATAATCAGCCTTTATTGTTCATTCGCTCCTTGTGGGAGATGCGCCCATGTTCATTTTTTAAAAGGGCAAATCAACCATAATTCAGTTTATAAACTGCAGCGGGATGGATGAATATTCATGAGGCTTCCTGAAGCTGCCACTGCACAGTGATTCATTAGGCATATGTAAATATCACTCACTTTAATTGCCCCTAAACTGACTCAACATAATGTTGTCATTAGCAAATTATTACTTATTTGTCTTACTAATCGTACAGTATGGCACAAATGCAGCGTCTCTACATATATGATTACAATTATAAACCTCTTTCTCAGTGGCTGCCGGCACGATGTGTGCTGTCCTCACTGCTGAGATGGATTGTGGGTAAAGTCTGGGTTGTGGGCGGTAATGAGGTAGAGAGGTGTTTGGAGATGCTTGGCGTGCCGGTGGAGATACATGCGCGACAATTAAACAAGCTGGCACTTTTGTGGGTTTAGGCCCATGGTGGGCTGCTGTCTCCAGCTCCAGACGTCAGCTTTGTTTTTCACGTGCCGTCACTGTGAAAAATCACGATGATTATTATGATGGTCTCATACAGAATATAATGGTGGTACTTTTTCAAAGAAACTGTTGTCATAATCGGAAGTCATTTGAGGTTGAGAAATACAATTCAAGAAAAAAAAAGAGCGAGAAAATGGTTTGATGACAAACATAATGGTCCGGTCAACTATGAAAGATGCAGGCATATTTTAGCTGTTGTCAGGAAAGTTTATATGAGGACAGGGCAAAAGCATGAGTAAAAACTCATTGTTTTCAAAAATGTTGTCAAACGTTTTTTAGACATAGTCTTATTGAATTATAATTCATTGATGTATGGTCATTGGTTTATGTAATTAATACAATTAATTATTTGATTGTAATAATAAGACACAACAAACATTTTTCATACTTGCAAGTAGTAAAGAAAAATCTGGGT